TCAAATAAATCGTATCGATTGCAATTCTTCATATTACACAAAATGAGGACAGTTTTATACGATATTACGTATGCATCATCTTTCCATCACGTCGATCAATTCGATCAGCTTCGACTGAACACAAAAACACTGCAAGGAAATAACATGTGAAACATTGGTGAGAGGCGAATGGAATCACAACCAAATATATAGAACATCTGAAAATTGAAACGAAAACAAGAATGCTGAAATAATGAACCTAATTTGACGAGGCCACGATCGGTAAGGAGTATGTTTCCAGCTTTAATATCGCGATGAATTCGACCAGCATTATGTAAGTAGGCTAATCCACATAATGTCTGATCAATAATCGCCGCTATTTCGCATTCATGTAACGGATGTCGATGCACTTCTACGATATCAGCTGCTGAGCCAATACAATATTCCATCACTAACTGAATTCATATCATCATAACCACATGTAATCCTAATAATTCATCACCATCTTACATAAACCTAAGTTTAAGAAATACTTCTCAATCAGTCTTTGTCAGCTTGACCTCACATATCCTGAATAAAATGCTTCTCGGTAGTTCAGTGAAGTGAATTTTTACAATTCTCACGATTACTGCTCAGAGTGTGCGGCATATTCACGGAATACTCTCATCGAGGTTGAATGAAATCATATAAAGGAACGAACCCAACAAGTGTATTCCTTCAAATAACACGCTCGATAATCGACAATATTTGGATGAGAGATATTCTTCAGGAATGAAACCTCTTTGATTATATCAGCCCATTTCTCGTTAGACTGCTTACCCGAATATGCCATCTTTTTAATGGCCACTGTTTCATTCGTTTCCTTATCTTGCGCCTCAAATAAATATCATTACTACCATAATTCGAGTAAATTAAAAACAATACCACATTCCAATATTTATATAATACTTCTTTGTTACCGCATGAACTGAGCTCTAAATTCGCATTATATAAAGCGATTCTCAGTTTTATGAAACCAGATCAGTCATCAAAAATTCAAAGGTTCAATGCCATCTGATGTGGGGAACACAAACACAAACAATCAACAACTAACAAAAAATACGGCGCCGAATGATCCATGACCGATTTCTCGTAAATCCTCGAATCGCTGCTCTGGATCTTTGGTGGAGAAGAGCGATGCGAGGGCCGGGTCTTTTATATTACCCGGTTTGGCGGGTAATTGACTCGGCATCACAGTCTAATTTTGAGCATTCCACAACACAAATCGTGTTCCTGTCCACAAACACACCGCCAAATTCGACAGTTGCAACTGCAGAAAGTGCACAAAGAATTGAATGTTCTATGCAACGCTCCTCAACCACACAACCACACCTGAATCAGTAAGTTCAAATCAGTAATTCGTCACAAACGCAAATCAATTCATTCAAATCGATCATTAGGTATGCGAATAATGGCATAATATGCAAAAGAAAATGCATTCATAAGGTAAAGATCCCAACACCACTACTCGACTCAGTGTTATTTGAGATTTCATTCTATCTGAATCGTTTCTTCCGCTACGCATTTATGGACGTCTTATGCCTTATAGCCTTCCATTTGAACAGTTTATGAAGGACAACAGAATGATCGTCACCTTTTGTGGCTTGACCAATAGAGGATTGCCATTTGAGAGAAAGTGAAAATAAA